AATAGTAGAGAACTACAAGCATTTGACTTTGTTTGCTGCCTAAACTAATTTTAGGTGCCTTGGTTGAATGCATACTGATTGGGTATTGCATTTACTCATCCATGTGTATTTGTGCGTAATGTTACTTGTGACTTAATCTCATTCATGGTTTAGAGTTAAGTAACTATTAATTTTATAAGCCTTGGAGTGGTTTGAGTTTGAACGGCGGGATTGATTTGTGGAGTGGTTTGAGTTTGAAGGGTGGGATTGATTTGTGGAAAGATTTTATGTCTATCACCAAGTATTTTAGTTTTGGTTTTTCTCCAATAAGGTTGCCTGTTTAAGATGTGAGGTAATCAACATATTTGGATTTTAGCCTATATAATTTTATGGCTTCTTGGGGTTTGCCAACACCAGATTTTTCATGTTACTTCTGTTGTGTATAATACTATTAGTAATACCAGATTCTTCTTGCCTTTTCTGCATTCGTATGGGTTTTTAATTGTTTTGCCCTTGATGCTTTGTCTCCAATAAGGTGCCTTGCTAATGAATATTGACATGCTCATGTGCTTTTTATGACATTTTATGCAGTGCAAGTAAGGAATTGAAGACTGAAAATTGAGAAAGAAGATAGCCCTACCAAAAAAGTTTACAAGTAAGATTACTCAAATTAAAAATATATATATATTTTTTGTGTTGTCTAAGATTATCAAATTGGTAACTATGTTAATTTTGCTGCAATGCAGGGGTAAATGCAAGAATTAGCAAGTGTTCTGAACAAAGCACTAATCTATAACTACCTTATAGAAGATCACAATAAAAACCACTTTTTTGGGGTTTCAAGTAATGGGATTTGGGATGAGGGATGTCTTTTTTGAAGTGGCTTTGGTTCTGATCTTCAATATTTTAGGACTCATTTACTGACTCATTATCTTTTTGCTGCAACAAGCTGATTTGGGATAAACAATGTCTTTTTTCACTACTTTAGGGCTAATTCACTGTTTTATGATGTATTTATCATCTCTTTGGTGTGACAAGTTGTTGAACTTTCTATAGTTTTTTATGATGTATTTATGTTGCAATGTGAATTTGCATGGCAAATCAATGAAACTACTAGGTTGTTTAATTTGAAATTTGAAATTTGAAATATGCTTCTCTGTTGCAGCTGGGCAATATCTCCCTTTCTTTCTTTTTGGTTTTTGGTTTTTGCTTTCTTAATCTTAAGGTTCCTTTGTATAGCTGTATTGATAGTTTGTTATAATTGTCTCTTTTTTTTCATTTGACAATTTTTGATGTTTAGGACAAGTAGAATGATTTACCCACCCCTTAGGACAACTTTTGAACTTGGAAGTAGGAAGAAAATCTCATACATTGATGGCCCAAGGCGTTAAAATGGTGTGCCTTATGTGCTTATTTGTTTCCATAACCTTTCTTTTTGTTCCACTTCTGAATATTGTATTGATCTTCAAGAGCTTCTTTGTGAATGCAAATATCTTCCTAATAATCAATTTAATCAAGGATGGCCAAAAAAAAAATTTTAATTAGGGCCTTCCTTATTCCATCCACTGTATGACTTTCCTTATATATCTATGAGTAACGTTCTTCACATTGATTCATTTCTTAACTTCTTTGGATACTAAAACTAGAAGCATCTTTTTTGCATAATTTTTTCTTGATGTTGGCATACCTTTTTTTTTGGTAATCATCTGATCTTTGAGATGGATTGACAAAGATTCACCATTTCTTTGAACAACAATTTTTTTTTTTTTTGGTAAATTTTGAACAACAATTTTTAAACCTCTTAAAAGTGTTCTTTGGACTTTCAACTTAACTTGCATTGCATGTATTAAAAATTAAAACAAAGTAATACAATACAATTTTATGTTGTTCACGACTTGAATGTTTAACTACAGGTACAACTGCGTAAGTTAGATTATATTTTGCTTTTAATGAGGTCCAAGTGGCCTTGAAAATAACCACCTCCCCGCAGAGCTAGGTGTTCCTGCTAGTATCATAGATGGACAAACAATATAGTTTCCAGTAACGTTGACTACTTTATGACACAGTTTTGATTTCAATCACTTAATTTGAATAATTTTTACTGCAATCCACGGAGGGAGGAGGGCTGCTTAGGGGATTGGGTGTCAGATTTATGACATTTGGTGCAAAGAAGTCAATGACCTTACAGCTTCCTCACTTGTGTAGTTCAATGATTTTGTACTCTTTGTTTTCGCTATTTATCCATTTGAGTTTCTTTCTCTAATTTGTTCAACTTAACTTTGTTCACTTTTCATGGTCCTCATAGTTTCTTCAATTTTAAAGTCCTAGGTGCCAATTGCAGCTTTTGCATTCTTGTTTTATATTTAAACTAATATTTTGCATTTGAACTTGTCCTCTAGCATGATCTGTCCGGTAGACTTCTTTCTATGTGCTTAGTACAATATTCACATCATCACTCTTTTTTCAAGTTGGTTTTGATTTGTGTATTCTATGACTTCCTTTCTTGTTTGGTTATTTAACTGGACCGGTGGATGAGTCCTAAAACACTTTTCTAAGAGAATGGTAAGCTTACTCTGTTAATCAAAAATTCCCCATATGGGGCTATACACGAGGCTTTCACCCGTGCATTTTCAGGTTTACAGAAAATCAATGACAAAGCATTAATGTTAACAAAGTAGCTAAGAGACTAATTGAAACTAGGTGCAGAATTGTAACTTTACTCATTTTTTAAAACTCTTCCCTTTTTTTCTTGCCATATGAAATAAACCGCAAGGATTGTGGGGGGAGGAAATTTCCAAGTCAATAGGAGATAACGTTCTTTAGTTTTCTTTAGCTACAACTTGAAATGTTCCATTCCAGCTTCAATAGGGAAGTTGGAGTAATATATTTTTGTAAACCTTAGACATAACAATTTTTGGAGTGAAATCCCATCATTACTTACAAATGTCATGCAACTTAACCTTCTTGATCTTTCAAATAATCAGCTTTTTGGTCCCATTCTTTTTCAAGGGAGTACGTTTTCAATACTATCCCACCTAGACCTATCTCATAACTCACTTAACGGATCAATGCCACCTTGAGTTTTCAGTCTACCTT